CTAGATACCATTATCAAGATAATAATTTCCGGACATGCAGTTAAATGTCCGGATTATGATTTCTTAGGGTCGGACCCGAAATTTCAGTTAACGTTTGCGTCGAACACAATCAACTACCAGGGGCAAACTGTGTAATGCTCATTCTATAAGCAGGTAGTATCGATTTAGCATGACATTGGTATTGTAGCTTACTTCCGCCATACGTACTAGCTAAAGGTTCAGAGGCGTGTTATGTAGTGCGAAAGATTCGGCTCCTCAGTGGTAAATTTACCAGAGGCCGCACAATATCATCAATTGGTAATTGCGTCATTTTAAGAATACGGAGTACATGATTCATTTTTTTATCTGATCGTGATTCACGGCCAGTAGCCAACAATCCAGTTATCGAATTGCCGCATTTTTATGAAGGTGTGTCAGACGTCTGTTTTCCACGCCCCAGTAGTACTATCACTGATAGTTTGCGACTGCCTATTTGTCAGGAAGCCGTATGTGGAATAATCCGGATAGGCATTAGCGATGTCCGGGACTCTGCTTTGTTCTAGTCGTTTTTTGCTTCTAAGGTTTCACGTAGAATACAAGTGGTTCTTGTAAAATGAGGTACGTATGACTTCATATTTTATCACAGAGATTTGCTACATGCAAGAAGAGAGCAGTAGTACCTGCGACACAGCTACCCAGTTAGATTTCCGTTTTACTTAGTAGCCAGTCACATAACTCTTTGGTTCTGAGTATTACAAAATTTGGACGGCAGATTTTGCAACTGTTCTTTATTTTGATGCAGCACGCAGGCACATACTGCACACAAGTGACACTTGGACGGACAACAGAAAACTTCAGATTTAAAACAGGATGATTGTTCTCGTTGTTTCAAATGCTCATAGGTAGATGGTGGTAATAATGCGGACAATGTTTGCTCTCGCCCTCTCACAAATCGCGCTTCAAAGTAAAATATGCGCATTTTGGAGCTCAACCTTATAGTAATGAGAGTAAGCACGCCGGTAGTTGTTCGCAAATAGTTCTCCTATAGTGTCAGTTTTGTTGCTCTCGGGATGCACTTTAAAGTTACAGGTCGTTCCAAGCTCCCGATATTTGAACATTCTTCGCAGGCTTTTATCAAATTATTGTAAATATGTAACTCAATTCGAGTAAAGTCTACTCATACAGTTCCTGTCAATCCCCACTGTGCGAGGACGGTTAGGGTACTAACAGCAACATTACTTCGTGATCGGTCGAGTACTCTGATATCGTGACAAAGTGTACAGTTTGGTCAACGATCCGCCCCCAGTGCACTTCTTTGTGTATTTTAAGGGCAACAAAGTTGTAATAAAGGCGTTTCCACAGTTTGGTCTCCCTAGGCATCATCTGTTAGTCAGTTTTCTTTTAACTTGTATCATAGACGTTAGGCACCTGCCCTTGAACCGTAGGTCACCAAACCCAGATCTGTCAGGCTGACAGGTATGTGCTACTGAAGATGAATCACCGAAAAGTACTAAAGGGGATAAAACGGTCGGGCAATAAGAACTAATGGTGAATCGTAGTAGACAACCGGAAAAATCAAGGTCCGAAAATTTAATCTCCGATTTGGAGAGGCAGATAAAGTAGAAAAACAAATGGAGATATGTTCAGCACGGAAATGGTCACAAATGCAGGGGTCCCTGGAGCAATGGCAGAAGATCAGGTGCCAAAACAGGTTATGAAGTCCTCTGTTTATGGCAGAGGGCTGGGGCAATGCATCGCGTTAGAATCTGTGGTACACTCCTCAGAGACTGTACAGTTGGAGTGAGACCGCTTATGCAGTGTTAGTGTGTAAAAGAAAGGCCAACGACAAACCGTCATGGTTTGTCAATTTCGTCTTTCACTTCCTCGATTTTTGGCCGCTTCTGTGGACATGGCACTCTCAATTTATCAAGGCCAATCTGGTCACCATCCCCATTGTTGGACTCTGCGTCCGACTCACCGGAGGAAGAAGACGAAGACGGTGATGATGGATCAGATTGCTCTGCTTCAGACAGCATCAACGGAGAGTCCGGTCCATCTGTTGGAACATATATGTCCTAGAGTAGAGAACAAGATGAATGCGTTAAACAAAAGGGAGTGCGAACACATGATCTGTATTAAATCGTACAGACTTCTATATACTGAGTCACAATTTTCAATCAGAAATCGACGGGAATATAAACAGGAACGGCAAAATCTGTGATGAAAAATAACGATTATGCAAACGTGCCAATAAATTGAAAAAAGGAGAACGGCCTTGCTCTTGTAACATGACCTCCATTGTATCAGTCGATAGTGAACGGCAAATGACCAAAGAGTATCCATTACGGAATGAATGGAAGAAAAGTTAAGAAAGGACGTTAAAAACGTACTCACCAACTCGATATGTCGGCTATTTTCGGGTGGAGATTCAAAATCAGTTGGCGCAGCCGTTTGTTCGGCGGTCTGCAAAAAACTTCGCACTCGATCAAGAACTAGAAAGACCAAATAA